AAATACCAATATTATGAACAAGACTACCCTTAAAAAATTACCCCAAAAAAAAAAAACTATTTTTTGATAACAAATGTCACAGCTTGAATGCTAATGTACAAAAATTATTTCCCAAGAAATTGTTTTTCTATTTCTTTTTTTTTTTTAAATTGGGCCAGTCTACTTTAATATCAATGGATGACAGTTGTAATTGTTATTGTGTAAGTCTGATAAAATGGCATCGGACATGAAAGTGCATACAAAGCATGACACCGAGTTTCTCTATGTGGAAAAAATTGCGCACATTAAGTCATCAACCCTTGTTAATTATTTATGTAAACCAAACCGTGGATTTGAACACAGGCAGTTGGTAATAGCAATGTGCTTGAGCCATATTCTCCACAGCTCTCAAATATGGAATTTTTTTTTTTTTATGTCTATAGCTGAAAGCTTGCTAAATTTTAGTTTCATTCTGTTCCCAGCTGGAGTTAATATTTGGAGGCATTACTTTTGGAACATTCCTTATAATCATAAAAATGTTAAATTGCAAAATCTGAGAATAGCAGAGGGGGAATATTTTTCACAACAAACTGTCTTCATTTTTTGATCTTAAGTATTTTCCTTATTACACATTAGATTCAATCTTGAAAGGTCACTAGGTACTAATTCATTTCCACTTTTTCCTTTGCATGAAATCTTTAGAGTTTAATAAAAAATTTTATTTTATTTAATGAATTAGACATGAATTAGTCTTAAGTAGCAATTTCTAATGGTAACTCACAAATGGGATTACAGTACATGTATTGAAATATCTTTTATGTCAAGGGTTCAATTATTCATCTTGTAAACAATGCTAAATATAAAAGGTATGATAACTACAATATTCAGTATTGTAGAAAATACAATTGTGCCCCCCCGCCCAACACACCTTTTAATTATAAACTGGTGTTATTAAATTCTTGATTTCTCTTTCATAAAGTAACACAAATACCATACAGGTGGACTATTATTTATCAAATTTCAGTAGGCTTCATCAGGTGTATATCAACCTAGGTATCCTATAGGGAATTTCAAACTGAACTCTTTATTTGATCTACAGGGGTAGGTTGTTCTTGTTTCACTGCCCATGCGTCGGGATATCTCATCCAGTGCTTGCTTGCTTCCACCGCTGCTCAGTTATTGCTCATACCATTTGGACAAGTCCAAGTACACACTGGCTGACCAAGGGATTGAACTCACAATTAGTGACCAAATTCATAAACCAATGCTTTAATCCATTTGATTGGTTAATACCAGTTTAAAAAAAAAATTTTTTTCAAATTAAAATTACCTAACATTGCTTTTAGAGAGTGAAACTGATTTGCATAGTGATTTTATTATTTACATTCACAGACTAATATCATTTTTGTTTCGGCTATTGCATTCTCCAGCCCTCTTCATGAGTGTGTCAATCTGAAAAACCCTTTATTTAATCAACATTAGATTACACTAATTCCACTGTCCATGTCAGGGGATATCTCATTATTAGTTATTTTGCTTATTATCTGGCCCAAGGATTGAACTTGCACTGATTATGTCACAAAGTCCCCCCCCCCACTTTAAATCTTCTATACTGTTGTCCTGAGCAACAATGCTGAATCAATCTAACATTCTTATTGCCTGTCTGTTGCCAAGCCTCGCTCTGGCTCTCCCCAAGATGGTTTTCAGTTTGGGATTCAGGAAAGAAAAAGATTTCCATAGACATGGACAATGCAAGAAAAATTTACCTCCATAGATAAAAATAAAGACTTCCTTTGAAGGTTACCCAGATCAACACCGCAAGTCATAATGGCTGAAACATGGTTACAAAAAACAAAAGATGAGGACTTTAGTTTGAGGGTAAATGTAAATAATGATTAAAACCTCATCACAGAAATCATTGTGTTTACAGCATAGAGGAGATTTGTTTGGAATGTATCCAGACACATTATGAATATGTTGAGAACCAGTTGCATGGTCTTGACAGAACTTGGAAATCAATCAGACATAACCTAACTGCACATGCATGAACAGACTCTTTTGGGAGTTACTCAGTCAGCAGTGGAATGCCATTGAGCTTTGCTTATTGTGCGAGTAGTTGTCTTTCTTTCTTTTTTTTTTTTGGTGTGATTCCACCACCAAGGCTCAAGTCCTTTTATCCTACAAGATTTGGCTCTCAAATCTCAAAATCACTGTTGAAATACTGTGGACGAGATTAAGGAGAAATTCAGGATATGCAGTGAGAGACAGATGACAAAGTAAGAGGTGAAAGTGACCAGTGGACATTGCAGCCACAAACCTGCCCATAAGTTACCAGCAGTTATTGGATTCTTGAATCCAGTGAAACAGAAAAGTCCGGTGGCCAAGCTTGCTTGGATAGCACTGATCACTCACATAAAAAGAATAAATAAATCTCATGGTAATGTACCAGCTAGCACATTTTCAATTGTGAGGCATGAAGCTTGTAAGTATCAGGATATTCAAAATAGGTCAATGAGTGGGTACAATCAAATAGCTGACAGTCTAGACTAGGATTTCTGTGTGTGGCAGAGTTCCCACTTCTTGCATTAATTTAGAGTTGAATGTGGCCAGCAAGTATTTCTTAGAATCCATATGGAAGATAATTGAAGAATTTTATATATATAATATATATATATATATATATATATATATATATATATATATATATATATATATATATATATATATATATGAGAGAGAGAGAAAAAAAAAAAAAAGACAGAAACAAGTAGGATCCCACCTCCATCCAAATTTGGTTTTGGCCAGTACTTCTCTAACCATACACCATCTAAAGCATCAGTTGACTATTTTTAATTGCACTCGCTACATACACTATTTTGCATATTTTGACACTTACAGGCCTGAAGATTCATAGGTGAAAGCATGCTCACTGGTAGGTCATCACAATCTTTAAGATGATGTAAGATTGCTCTATTTTAACATTGAACACCTTTCGTTATTATTAATCTTTTTACATCTTCTATTCCTGTCGATTCATATAATCACACGCACAAAACAGAGTGATCAGAGACTCAAATCACAGACAATGAAAGCATCAACAATTCATACAGAATGAAGACAGCCTGACGTGATAAAATGCAAACATCACATTCAATATTTACAAATAATAAAAGCCAAAGATAAAATACAAATTGCAGATTAAAAATGTAAAATCATTGTTGGTAGATTTATTTCTTCATTAAGTCAATTTTTTGTAAAACTGCACATTTTTCCCCAGATAAAAGAAATTGAATCAGTCTTAGTAATTAGCAAACAGATTAAGTTTCAGAAATAATTCTACATTTTGTTTTCACCTTTTTATTGAAGTCATTCATAGTTTTCGCCAGATTCACTGTAGACAAAAAATATTGTAGCTATACATTTAGAAAGAAAGTCGAAATTTTTTTTTTTTTTTTTTTTTACATAATTCTAGAAGAGATAACTTGACTAAGTTTTAAAATATTGGAAGCCATAACAAGGCTCAGGTTTTAGCTTATGGAGGAAAAACAAAATGTTTTAATAAGAAAATAGAATTTATTTAAAAAAAATTAAGACGATTGCTATGAACAACTACAACAACAGGATGAGACGAGTTGTTCAAAGTTGGTTCATCGATTCTAGATTAAACTTAATGCTCAACTGAAATGGGCAAGAATATATATATATATATATATATATATATAAAAAATCGGTTTCTGTTGCTGCTGCCATTGCAATGAGTTACGGAGCAAAACAATAGAAAGGAAGAAGAAAAGAAAAGAAAAAGGCACGAGTTTTTGAAATGTTAACAAGTGGGAACTTTACAGTCAAAAGAAGGAAAAGAGAAACAATAGAGCTAAGAGCAAAACGGCAACCAATTGTTTCTCCACTTTTGGACTCAACTTGCATCTTCTGACCCCTACCCAAAATTTTATTTCACATTTAAATTTTCTTTTTAGTTAAGAGATAGAGAAGACAAATGGAGTCGTTAATGTTTAAACATTTGAATTAATATTGATAATGGGGAATGAAAAAAAAAAAAATTGGATTAGAGGGTTTTGAGGAAAAAAGGAACTTAAAAGTGGGGAGCCTGGGGATATTGGGTAGAAGAGGGGGGAGAATGTCAGGGGAATAGAAAGTTCGAAAGAGACACAAAGCAACAAACATTTTAAAAAATATATAGAAAAAGTTGGAAAGATACAAAAAAAAAAAAAAAAAAAAAAATAGTAACCTAAGAGGAATGATTAAAGTTCAATGGTTAGGGTGAGGATTGGGTGTGGGCAAGGAATGGTGGGGTGGAAGAGTAAAAAAGAGAGGGGCAGGAAGAGAATGGCAAAGAGGGGGGGTGGCAAATTTATCTATTTTTTTTCTTCTCTCTCTCAGAGGGGAAATAAAGTTTGATGCAAACAGTTCACCCAGAGATACGATTTATTTCTATTTACAAATATGGCTTCAATATCATTTACTACGAAGGAAAAGAAAAAAAATAGAAAAAAAAAAAAAAAAAAAAAAAAAAAAAAAAATTTTAATAAGAAGAAAAAGTCATAATACCAATGACAAACTGGTTCCCTAAATGAATAGGGTTAGGAATTCTGGCATTGAACCTTGCAGACCCCTTCCTCTACTCCACAACCCAACCCCCAACAAGAAAAAAATTGTTCCGAGAACAAAATTATAAATTTCACTCAGAAGTTTTTTTTTATAAATATTTTGTCTTCAATGACAAAAACGTTTTAAATTTCTTTATTACCATTATTATTATTATTATTATTAATATTAATATTATTATTATTATTAATATTAATATTATGATTATTATTGTTGTTGCTGCTGCTGTTAGGGGCTAGAAATGGGGGAGCAAAGGTCATAAGTTGAGGTCAGTGCTATGCACAGGAGAGAGAGAGTGAGAGAAAGAGAGAGTAGTAATATTGAAGTTTTTCTTTTAATGCTGACTATCGACACCTGGCAAAAGAGTAAAAATCTGCTATTGCCACTGTAAATGATCAGTTGCTTTTTTTGCCAGCCTGGATTGCCCGTCGTGCACCATAGGCAGCCAACAAAGTCAGAGCTTGTTCAATAATCTGAAAAGAAAAAAATGAAACTAGAAAGTAATTTTTTTGTTTTATGGTTTGTTTTTTTATTATTTTTTTTTTTTATTTTTAAAGAAACACTAAAATGAACATTTATTAAATTATTACAATTATTTAACTTAAAAAAAAAAAAAAAAAAAAATACCCACATCTGTGTGGGTGTTTCAATAGGTCATGATGGTCAACAGATTTAACAGCTTCCAATTTTATTCTTTTCTTGGAATTTGCTCTTGTGGTGTTAGTGTATGTCAACAGACAATGAAGAAAATTAAAGAAAACATCTGGAGAGAAACACTTGTTCTTTAGCTGGAATCATTAACAGCAGTTATGAAAAAAAAATGTTATCAAAAATGCTTATCTTTGAGAAACCAAGACAGACATTTTGAAAACAAAATGCAAGACTAACAAAATATTTTTCACCAATGAGAGCCCTTGAGAAAAGGGGCCGCTACATCCTTATGTTACTTTCAGACAATCTTTAGGAAAATGGTAGGCTCAAAATCACTACAAAATCTTAGTCTTATCCTGCTTGAATTGTGAAGTAAAATATAATTTTTTGGTCAATTGTAATTCTTAATTTTTAAGCCCCGTTTTGAGTTGAATGTTTTCTAAACATTTTGATCAATGATGTTAATTATCCAGGATTTTTAACTTTGATTACTCATTTTTAACACTGATCAATTGACTGATATCTTTTATTCTTTCATTTTATTATCAGCAAGAATAATTATACAATTTATATTCTTCCTGCTAAACTGACCTACAACTGTATTATGGCTGCAACTCTACTGCTGATACAGACACACATGCCTTCAATGTAAACAACATTGCGCACAACAGAATCATTCATATCTGGACATGATTTTGATGTGTTTTTGAACTATTTAGGTGATATGTAACTGATTTGAAATTTCTGTTTTTCAGGAAATTTACTTTGGATAACTGTTTATTCTTATTTCACCCTAATGGCTTGCATTGGTGCAAAAGATGATGGGAATAAGAGGATAAGAATAACTTTGGAATAACGCAGAGTTAAAAAGTACCTGTCTATATTTCTGAGATGAGGTATTATGTACATTATTCAGACTATTGTCCTCATCTTTTGCCATTTATTTATTACGTTTAACAAGATTTACTTTTCCATCCTTCTTCATGTGGTTGGAATGTCGAACTGAACCCTTTATTTCGCTCACTGGGGTAGACTGTTCTAGTTCCATGTGCCATGTTTAATGGATGTCAGTTATCAGTTATCTCCTATTCATTCACCTCTCCAATTTCTCCACTGCCTTAACCAGATATTGAACTGAAGGACACATGGCACAGTGGATAAAGGCGTTGGTTAGATCCAGTAACAGGACCCAAATAGTGTGAGTTCAATACCCGGTTAAGGCAGTGGAGAACTTTCAGAGGGAAATTAACAGGCGATAACTGACATCCATTAAACATGGCATACTTAATTTAATGAATTTTCATTAACATTACATAATTTATTTCTTTTTCTTTAAAATCAATTCCGTTATATTTCCCTTGCCATTAGCTTATTTTGTTTACGATAAAACATTGAAAATAAATGTTAAACCTGATTTCAGTTCTTTCATTTAAATATAACCTGTCATATCTGGACTTTGTAATCAATTCCTTGTATCCGGAAGGCCTTCTTAGTCCAGTTGTCAGGGATTCTATTGTATTAAAAAATTTACATGTGCAAAAGGAAACTTTATCAGCTCTCTCACACACACACACAAATGAAAAACTATTTAACATTTGGATTATCAAATAAATGATATTTGATGTATTATTTTGATTTTTCTAACTATACAACTGTTTATGAGCATTTTCAAATATAAATAAATTTGTTAAATTTGTAGAAGCATTTCATCTTTTGTTTTTTCCAAACAATTTTATTCTTTATTTCTGAGATTGTATTGTAACTATTTACTGTCCAGAATGTCAGCCTCATCTTTACTGCCATATTCACAACATTTAAAATTCTAACATATATCACCTGAAGAAGGCCGGAGTGTACAACAGTCGAAATATCATCAATACCGCAATAAAGATGAGGATGATAGTCCGAACAATGTAAGTTCAGTAAATAATTTTATTTTTCTATGGAACTTGGTTTCCATCTACATATACATTAATAAAAGTTATACGATAGATAAAATAGTCATTCTTATTGTAGAATCTTAGCAACCTTAGTGTACAAGGTATTTTCTTTCTTTATTAAGAATTTTCATCAAGGGAACACTGATTTGTTTTTAGCAAATCCAAATCCTCAGCATCAATACTTTTGCACATTGGGTCTATTCGTTCTTTTTGTTTTTTCTGGAGTTAAATGTAGGTAACTAAAACAGTGGAAATGAAACAGTAAATAAAAAGTGGGAACCGTTATATTTTTTGAAATTATACAAAGAAATAAAAAAAAAAAAAAAAAAAAAAATAAACTGGTTTTACTTACATTTTCCCATATTTTTTCAGCAATCTCATCAATCAGCTGACCAATATTAACATATTCTCCCGTGTAATGTACATAGCCAGCCACAATGATAAGACAAAGTGCGAACCACATAACTAAAGTAAAGAGAGTTGCAATTGGATTGAGCCCGACTAAGGCAAACGTGCCAGCACCAACGTAAGAAGCTATCACCATAATCACAAGAACAAAAGGGGTCCGTGCAGTATTGAAAATGTTTTTGCTGTCGTTATGCTTGCAAAAATTCCCATAAGCTTCATCAATTTCTTTTGAAAGTTTTTCTTCATAATGTTTGCTAAAGTCGGGTCCACCCATCTTGCGAGTCGACCGGAATATTTTTAAGCTTTCCTCTCTGTATCTTTCATGTTCACATTTAAGGCGATCAGGATGAAGGTAAGGTCTGTCTCCACCAACTGACTGGAAAAAGAAAAAAAAAAGAAATGTCAGCAAGAATTTTTTTAAAAGACTTAATTTTAAGAGCACAATCACCAATTCCAGCAGATATAATAGCATTGGAACAAGGCACATTTTCAAGGTAGATTCATGTGGGTCAGGTGGTCATGGCCCTCTTTGTCTCCTTAATATCCCTCCCAGTCCTTGTTCTGCCATCCATTTATACAAGCTTGTTAGGTAGTTATTCAGCATTTCCCTCTGCACCTTTTGCCATCAATATGTCCAGTGAGTATCAAATTTTCCAAGCCCCCACTTTCCTCATCATGTATCCCAAAAATGTACAGTCTTTTTCTGATACTAAATACGTCCATCTTGTTACAATTTTCCTCAGAACTTCCTCATTGCTTACATGCTTCATCTATGGTATTCCCATCATCCTTCTGTAGAACTACAGTTATAAGTTTCCTGTTTATATGCAATTCATCAGAGTTAATTGCTCAACAGTCGTTGCCTTATAGGACTGATGTTATATGACAATTCAACATTCTTTTCTTTGTTTCTAAACAAAATTTTCTTGCTATATAATACTTTCCTCAGCTTTTGGAAGGCATCACTGATGTTACCAAGAATTTCCTATGTCTCACTGGACACGTCACATCTCAAAACAAAACAAAACAAAAAAACAAACCACAAAAAAAACAAAAAACACAAAAACAAAAAATAAAGAGCCTCATTTTTCTATCAATTATTTTCTCCTCTTTGGGGAAGCCATTTTGTATGTTAAGCTCCTTAACCTTTTTGAGCTTTACCTTGTCTATAATAATCAAGTAATGTTGTGCAGTACTGTAATTTAGTTTAATAAAAATCACATGCCGCAACCTTGTGAGGATCAAACACATTACAATAGTCATAATCATGAAGATGAGCTTACAAACCCTGGCTCTATAGTGAGGTACCTTAATTACTGAAATTATCTAAATATGACCATTAGTTAGAAGAGAAGCCTTTATCTTTCCGCCTCTTTAAGGGTTCCAAAGATAAGTGAGACGACTATATTTCGCTCATATTTTGCAGATACAAGTAAGTAAACCTAAGTGAACTTATTATAGCGTTTGACATTTAGGGTCAAACATATTAGTGGCTTCTGGACAAAAGATACTCAAATCTTGGATTTATACTGGCTTCTAATAGGACCCATCAAAACAACTAATTATTTAAAACATGCCAGGTGTAGCAAAATGGGAATATAAATAGTGTGTGTGTGTGTGTGTGGAAACACATTCCGGCTTTTTTGCATAAATTTTTTCACATTATATAAGAATGCATATATCGTAATTTCTCGAAAATAATACACACCCATAAATAATAGGCACCCTAAACAAATGATTCAAAAATTAAGAAATATATATATATATCCCTGTGTATAATATGCATCTATAAATTTTATTAAAAAAAAAAAAAAAAAATTACGAAGACATTTTGTCTACCTTGATATTAATAAAAATTGAAACTAAGTGGCTAAAATAATGTTGAAAATTACCATGTGGTTTTCCTGATAAATGTTAGTGAGGATGTTATAAAGAGAGGTTTCAAGGGGTGTTGGCTCACGACAGCCATGGATGGCTCTAAAGATGACATCTTTTGGCAAAAGAATGAAGAGGCCGAGGATAATTTTAAACAGGACAAAGATAATATTGTGATTGATAATTTGTTTAATAACAATTTAGATATTGATTCTATAATAGAAAATGGTGATGACGATGAAAATTAAAATTTTAATAAATTGTTAACTTGATATCCTCTTTTCTTCAAAATTGGCCTTTTTATAGATTTTTTTTATTTTTTCGTCAAATAAAAAAATGTGGTTACTGATAAACAAATTTATTGACAAAAAATGTTACAATTATTATTGTTGGATTTAAAATGAAAATTGGAATAATATCTTTCTTATTTTAGAACAACAAGCACGTATTTACTATTATAAATCAATAACAAAAAATATTTTTGTTTAAACCTATTTATAATACACATCACCTACGATCCCCTGTAAGTTACAAAAAAAAAAAAAAAAAAAAAAAGAAAGAAAATGCCTATTATTTGAGAAATTACAGTAAATGCAGAACATTTGTTAAGATTTAGTTTGCTTCAAGTTCCAATGCAAGGGTTAAACTCCCTACAGTAGTAGAGTACACCCCCCCCAAAAAAAAGAAAAAAGTGCTTGAAGACGTTTTCTTATTTGACATTTGTGTATCACTGCTAGATGTAAGCAGAAACAAAAAAAGAGCAATATTTAATGTCAAGCCAAAAATATCAAAATGAAATAATTACATCCAACACACAAAAAGAAATCTTCAGGTAGCTGACATTGGAGCAAATGATTCCCAATGTGAAGCACATGCCCCACCAGTGGGGGCATGGTAATACTTTGGTGTGAAGGTGCACCCTTCACCTTACTATACCAACATGATCTCAAATTTCATTTTGCATTATTATTTCATGATTAAAATGGTCAAAGTATATTACAGAATAAGCTTTCAATCAAATATTTTCAGTTCTTTATTATATTTTGAAACTGTATATATTTAACTATCTTTGTTTTTTGTTTTTTTTAATTTTTCTCTTTCATGGATGCCATAGTCTTTGGAGGCTTGTTTGGTTTATTTTGTTTTACGGCATATCAACCTCAATGGGTTATTTAATGCCGACAACATTTTTAGGATAGATTCACATGAATAGAATATGTATTCTTTGGTTTAGATTGGTTTGGTTTATTTTGTTTTACGGCATATTAACCTCAATGGGTTATTTAATGCTGACAACATTTTTAGGATAGATTCACATGAATAGAATATGTATTCTTTGGTTTAGATTGGTTTGGTTTATTTTGTTTTATGGCATATTAACCTCAATGGGTTATTTAATGCTGACAACATTTTTTATTGCTGGTAATATTTTGTTTTGTCAAAAATCTGTTTTTGGTAATACTTTTCCTTCAAAATTGCATTGCTGGTAATATTATTTTTCAAAAAAGTATTGCTGGTATTAGTTAACTATTTGCCCATAGCTGGGACCCTAACAGGTGCTACCACCCCGGGTCAGGGTGGACCTAGGAACACCAGCAATTAACAGGTGGCTCCACGCTCCTCAAAACCTCTTGATCAAAGGCCTTGCTGCTGGACATAGTTTATCATCTTACCCAGGACAGGGAGGCTTGTTTAGAGACCAAGTTAATGGCCTTTTAAGCTTCCTTCATGTGAATTGCAGTAAAATTTTGAATATGTAGGAATTAATTATTACAGGAGAGGCACTAGAATTTTAGAAATACCAATGTGGGGCATGGTGCAATTTGGCATACTGAAATCTTCATGAGTCAAGTTTTACTTAACTCTGAAGAATCTGCAAAGCTTTCTTCAATTTCAGGTTTAAAAATATTACATTTTTTTTTAATTTTTTTTTTTTGAATAGAAAAGAAAGATTTTTGTTAGATTTCAAATCTAGATGCAATGGATAGAGGCCTAAAACAAAAGACAGAAACTTACTGCTTCCATTGATTGCATGTAATGGTTCCGTGAACAAGCTACAGCTGCCAAATTGTTGGCTTCAGCAGTTGCCTGTGAAAGAGTCACAAAAGTAAACAAAAAATATATTTAAAAAGGCAAGAATAATTATTTGTTGAAGACAACTGACCTAAAGCAATAAGTATTTAAACATTGGTCTCTATTTTTTTTTTTTCATCTCTAATAAAAATGTTTTGCTTGTTCAAGTTTTGTTCACTCTTGGACAAAACAAGCATGGAGCACTTGGTGAGGATGCAGCTCAGAATAATGAGTGTCTACTGCAACAAAACCAATTCAGATCTACACAATAGTGAGAAGCCAATAATCCTCTGTTGCCAAAGCAAGTGTTGCTTCAACCATGAAATTTTATATAATATCTCAATGTATAAATCTTAATACTGTTAACAATATGTCTAATAAGTGTTTATAAATTCTAGACTAACAGTGACCAAACTACAGCTCACATGACAAAGCTGACTTGTGCACAAATATCTTAATTCAACTCCTTTTCTCATCATAGTTAATATAAAAATTATAAAATTTATATTACTGAAATGTCAATTTGTAGATTTTGATTCATTGTCCCTGTACTCAATTACAATATTTAATACGTACAATATTTGTAAAATAATCAGTAAATATTATGGAAACATTCTATTTTTATGACCTTTATAATGACTGAAGTCAAAAGTTACAAATTTAAATATTTATGTCAAATAGTTTCTAATAAAATGTGTATGATAAACAAACACACACACACATATATATATATATATATATATATATATATATATATATAATGTACAAATGTAAAGTATATTAAAACAATTGTTGGACTTAATCTATTTCATATATTGTCATTATGTGAGCAGATCTGATCATTCAGGAAAGATTAAAGATTTGTTGTTTATAAAAAATAATTTGTAGTTTGCTTACAAGACGTGTCTTTGTAGCTGAATAGTTAATAGTACATCAGATCAAATGATGACTCCCATTGGGGTTACAGGTTTGATTCCTATCGGAGAAACATATTTTCTATGAAATCTCTAACATTCAAGCCAGTAAATGTAATTAATACTTAAAGAAGCAAAAAATTAAAAAAAAAAACAACAAAGCATTTACTTAAATTATGTCTATAAAAATAAGGTATAAACGGAAAATATATTAAAATAATTGTCAGATATATATATATATATATATATATATATATATATATTTATTTGCAAATTACCTCTAGCATTGATTTAGGTTCTGGAAGTTCTTCCCCTTGATAGATTTTGATATAAGCCTGAAAAGGAGGAAAATTTAAAAAAAAAAAAAAAAAAGAAAAGATTAAAAAGCAACATGAAAATAAGAAAATGTTTTAAGTTATTCTTAAAAAAAAAAAAAAAAAAATATTCCCTTTCTCTGACTGATGACAAATCTATCGAACTTTGATTTCAGCTCTAACCACACTGATGAGCTGTAATACAGCAAAACAGGCTGCCTGTGGATGACTATGTATGCTCTTGTTCGCTGATTGAGAAAAGGGAATATTTTAACAGTTGCTGCTGCTTTGATGCATCACTCTTTGTAAGAATTGAGCAATACAGTGGCCAGTATGGCATTTATATAGTATGTATATAATGCATTAAAAAAATTCTCTCTCTGCTGTGCACCAATTTGGTAAAGTTTCAATCCTGGATTGAAGCAATCAAGCATGTCTAGCTACACAGATGAGCTGTGATACAGCTAAACAGGCTGTCTGTGGATGAAAATATATATATATATATATATATATATATAAACTAAAATTCTACTTTTTAATGGATTAGACTCAATTGTTTCCTTCATGATGATTTTGCCCATTTAATTGGCTGTTGGAAACATTAATCTAACTTGTAGAATTTGTCTTAAAAAGATGTTCAATCGAAAAGTACATGGGGGACATTGTTCCATCAGCTTTTCATTATCAATTGAGAACAAAAAAAAATACATTTTAACATACGATGACATATGACTTTTTTCCGAGCCAAATACTAGAATTTTGTATTTTGTTAATAATCTGAGCAAAATTCAAAATACATTCCAACAATTTCTTTTTAATATTCACTATAGAAATGGTGGTGTGAGTGGTCTAAAATGCCATCAAATATGGTAGGTTGATAAGAAAACAACAGCTGTAAATTATGCTTATCAATTTTATCTTCATCTGATGTAAATGAAAATATCTTAAAATTTAAAAAAGATCTGGTTTATTCATTTCTACATCTCAGAAACTTAAAAGTGTATGTATGTAAAATGTAGCTTTTAAAAGCAATTTTTCATTTCTACAACCCTTTCATATTAAATAAAAAGTAATTTATCAGATAATAATGCATAAAAGAAAGCTTATATTAATCAACATGTCAGACAAACCATCATATTCCTATCAATATTTGGCAGATAATTCAAGCCAACAAAATATACAACAAACTGAAAAAAAGATTACAAATACTTGAAGTGAAAACCATAAAACCCTATAAATAGATTATAATACGAGATTAAATAAGGAACTGGTGGATTAAACATTCAACAATTAAGAAAACATACAAAAGTTAGTTTACAACATATATATGTTGTAAGCTAAATTTTTGAAAACTTACTTTTGTTTATAAATTATGCAACAACAATAACAACAGATCTTTTAAGGAATTAATATAAAGAGAACAAGAAATGCCATATAGCTGGAATATATGATGGGATTTGAGTTGGTGAGAAAGGAGAGAATAGGAAGAATTTGAAACACTTCATCTATTTTTAGTCTTCATGAAAAAAAAAAAAAAAGAGCAGAAAATATTGACTTAATTTTCTCAAGGATATTTTTACCATTTCCTAAATTTAAGGAATGAATACTCTGGCCATACAGATATACTTTGCCTCTTCAGCTGATTCTATGTCTTCGGATATATTTACAGCTTTATTTAAAAAAAAAAAAAAAAAAAGCTTTGGTTTCCCCCCCATGATAATATGTCATGATCTCAGCTCAACTAATGTATTTGATGAAAAAGAAAAGTTGAATACTAACAAAGGTTTTGATGAATTCATACTGAAACTGTTCACTCAATTTCAGATTATCTGTTCAATATCTGTTAATTAACTAAACAAAAAACTTGTCTATTCAAACATGGTAGCCATTTATAAGAATCTCTTTTCCTCAGGAGTTTTGGAAGAATGTAGTGAATTCAATACGGAATTTGGGATCTGAACAATTTGATGTGAATATTGCTTTTATTTCTTTGTCAAATTTCAGTTATCATTTTCAAGCAGAAATGTTTCTTCTGGGGCCAAAAGGTTCAGCAGGATTCTCATTTTTATCTTCTATGATTGTTAATGAATTAAGCATAGATTTCCTTCATTATCACCAATGTCAAGGTTATTCTGGTTTATTGTCTTTTTTTTTGCCTAAGTCCAGAAAACTAGTGAACACAAAATAAATTAAAAAAGGAAAACTCAGTACACACAATTTTTACTTACATTATCATCTCCAGAGATTTTTGTTATATTTCACTAGATTCTATATTTTCAACTATTATTTTTCTGGGTTTATTTTGTCCTTAATTTTTAGCAGATCTTGGATGTCTCAATCCCCTTTGAGCCATGAGGGAAGCACTTCCGGCCAAGTGTGTGGGTTTCTCTGCTGTGCAGAGATGTTCACCAAAATCAAATTCACATGAATGGCCTCGTCAGACTGATTATTCTTCAGAAGTAGGCTGGTCCTTCACAGCCATCTCCACCACCCTGCCATCAGAGCGGGGAGAAGAGGATGGAGGATGATTATCCTGATGGTTGGATCCAAGCAAGTGCTGACTGCTACTACTACATTTTTTTTTTTTTTTTCTCTCCAAAGGTATTTTCATTTTTGTTGATAACGGACAAACAATAATACATACCTTGAAATATTCTACTAATTCCCCACAAGTAACTTTAGTGCCATTGATTTCTTTGACAACTAAGTTTTCCGGAGACAAAACATTTTTGACAAGTTGGCGTAATTGCTGTCTGAAATCAGGTTCAATGTCTGGAGAAAAAAGAAAAAAGTTATTGATAGTAACAAAATAATCAGAACAAAACTGAAATGACAAACGATGAAGAGAATCAAAATTAGATAAAAATCCTACTTTACTCACAAAGCAACTTAATAAATATTGTTTTTTTTTTTTTTTTTAAACACTTTTATAAATATGCTATAATTTTTATTAAAACTCCAATATTTTAAATGCGAATAACAGAAAAAATAAAGTTATCTTTCTTAATGTATAGGGAGGTACTAAAAAAGAAATGTATATGCAATATCACATTTACTAAAGAAAGAAAAAAAGGGAGGGGTGAGTTTGGATGGTCAATGCCATCCCTCCCTCTCAGCAAGTGCATTACACTACAAAAAGAGAACACCCTTTTTTCATCTTCCCCTCACCATTTTTCATGACATTTTATACAGAACAGAGAGATTCTGTATTAACTGTTTGGCGATTCTGAAAGTCAATACCTTCCTTAAATAAATAAAAATAAAATAAAAACAAAAACCCACAGCTATGACTTTCCTTGGTGATTTTTAGGTCTGAATTTCTTTGGTCATAGAAAACTCAAGTGGCATCACTACTACAGACATCAATCAATTTAAAAAAAAAAAAAAAATTTCAACTTGAAAAGAAAAATATTTATTTTAATAGTTACAGTGAAAAAGTAGTAAAAAAACAATTTTTATTTATCTTAACCAAATATCAATTTTTTTTTTTTTTTTTTTAATTATGAACAATTTTTTAATCTAGTGACCTGGATTATAAAATAATCACTTATCAGAAAAAGATCCCTACATAAAGCAAGCATGCATTTTGCTTGGTGGTCATTTTTTGCAGAGTTAGGGGCAGGAAGCAGACATCAGAGATGAGAGACACACCCATATTTCAGTGGCCTGAGCAAACACACAGACACATATAACCAAAGAATTAAATCCGAGTTGATTGACTGGACATCCCTTTAATGCTTGAGACACAAATCACCAACTCCTGCAGTAATTTTGATTTGCAGTAACTAATAGAGACATTTTATTCAACCCGTTTTATTCTTTATAATCAATAAACCTCTTGTTATACTTATCAACACTGTTGTACTGCTTTTCATTGAAAGAATTCTTTTTTCTCACCTGACTTCAGAAGTTGCATTTGGCCATAAGAGACAAAAGTTTACCAATGGCCACAGACAGGAATTATGCAATGTAAATAAGGGGTTCAAAACATGAAGAATTGAAAGAATGCATCAAGCTGGTTCTCTTTCAAACCTTGCAATTAATAATACAAAATATAAAAAACGAAATTTGCTGCTGCATTCTCACCTTTCAATTTTCCATTGAATTTTGGATCTGTTGCAACTTTGAGGCCTGGGTGGGGCATCAAGAAGCAGTTAATGGAGTGGAAACAGGAACGGATATGACGACGTAGCTGTTGCAATTCCGGATGCTGGCGGTCGGAAATCTGAAAGTAATAACCATATCATTTTTTTCTGTGACTTCAACTGTTCAAGAATAAATGAAAGAATAAAATAAAGATGAAAGGTAAGTATCAATTATAAAATCCTGGAATTTTGAGAAAAATGTAGCTTCTAATTTTTGACTAAAGATTAAATTTTTTTAATTTTGTACCAATAAAAAAATTGGTTTATATGCAGGTAGTACAGATTGTGGTGGAAATACTTCCCACATAACGGTAAAACATTAATAGCAATGGTGTCTTCATCTAAATAATGCCTTACTATTATGCAAGAGGTACTTCTGCCACACTGTACATTCATTTCAGGTGCAAAAAGTGAAATTAGCAAGCAAAGTTCAAATCCCATCTTAGTTACTTCAGATGCGCATTATGGCTATCAGCTCAGAATGAGAAATCAGACAAACAAGTTGAAATTCCAGTCTAGCGTGTTGCATTCACTTATGCATAAATATCCTTGGGAAATGTATGAATCCATCTCTTCTCCCTCCAGCTATGGGTTGAATAGCAGGACAGACTGAGTTCTATAGCCTTGGTTGGCAACCAGTCTACCATAGAAAGAACTGGCAACTTATTTACATTATTCAGACTGTTATCCTCATTGTACGCTCTGGCCTTCTTCAGGCGATTGAAATTTCGAACCGAACCCTTTATTTCATCCAATCACTTGAAGGCCGGGGCATACAATGGCCAAAACGTTGTGAATATAGTAACAAAGATGAGGATAACAGTCTGAATAATGTAAATAATCATAATACCCCATCTCAGAGATACAGATGAAACTGGCAACTTATTGCGGGAAAAATCTTCAAATGCTCTCTTTCTCATGTTGATGTGCAGTCTGTAACAAGCAGTGTTTTTTTTTTTTTTTAAAAACAGGACTCTTGAGAAAGTCTCCTCTCAGCTATGGGTTAAATAGCAGAGTACATAGCACCTCTAGAAGGAATGATGAATTCCTAATGGGAAACCTTTTTTTTTGCAAAAAAGTCATGGCTATTCACATATATTAACTGAAGCTGTGGAGAGACAAAACCTCCTAATAAATCACATTAGCATGGCACTCAGTGAAGATCATAGTCAGTTTACTAGCCATTTAGGTCAGAGGTCAGCAACCTACGACACGTGCCATGCGAAGCAATTTCCATTGGCATGCAGTTGCAAATGACATCATGAAGTTCGAAAAAGTAACTACTACAGTGCAAAGAAAACATTTAACTGTTTCAATTTTAATATATACCAAAGTAGATATACTATATAAAATATATTATAGAACAGATATATTGGCTTGGCCTTGACTTGTATTAAAATACATAATGCTTTTGGCACATGGATTGATTTTAAAACCCTAAGTCAGCACATAGCTAAAAGGTTGCCAACCTCTGATTTAGGCTACAGGAGGCACTTTTGGATATTTAATAAATTGAGTTGGTAGTTTGATTCCATCCACAAAGTGGCCTTGTACCAAACTTGTCCCTATCTTCCTAACTACTGATCTACAATAGATGTGCTAACTTAATCAAAATGAATTAAAATTCATTTTAGGATCATAAAATTAACATGAGAATAATATCTCAGGTTGATGTACAGTCTGCAACAAGCAGAGTTTTTTTTTGTTTTTTTTTTTTTTAAGAAACAGCACTCTTGAGAAAGCTTCCTCTCAGCTACGGATTAAATAGTATTTTATTTCTATTAAGATCAGAGAATCTGACAGTATTTACAAATTTCCACAACACACATGCAATTTTTATTGACCATTGCATCCCTATTGGACAATTTGTATTTGAAAGAAATGCGAATATAAACTGATATTCTATTGGGTGAGCCTCATGACTCAAACACCAATTTCTTAGCCTACATCATTGGTTCCCATATGATCACCAAAGTTAAGCAACATTGAGCCTGGGGAATGCCAGATACTGTAAGCTGGGATGCGTGGGTGTGACATGAATAATAACAGTTCTAATTCCAGTTGGGTTTGTTATATTCACTTACATGTAAATACCCTTGGGAAAGGCATGAATCCACCTTTTCTCCCTCTAGCTATGAATTAATTAGTAAAACTTGTACCACTAAAAATCATTATAATTTCCAAAAAATAAAATTGCATACAAAACATTTAGATTTCAACTTTAAATAGCCTATAGCAGTTGATATGGCACTAAATGAAAAAGAAAAAACGTAACATAGGCCACTTAGAAGATTAATGTATCTTTGGCCTTTTGCCATACTTGGCCAATTGCAGAGTTGAGCCAAAAGTAGAGGACAGTTTCAGCCTAAATAGAAATATAATTTCTAATACAGATTCTCAAAGATGGTTAACCGTTTCCATTTAGAATATTAGAGCAATACAAACTTCCTGCCATAGTAAACTTTTTCTAAAAAGCAAGAATAGTGTGTGGTTAATTACAATAGTAAATAAAGCAGCAAAAAACATATTTCAATGTATAGAAAGCAGTGAAAAGAATGCTCTGATGAGAAAACAATTCTTGCCACTGCACAAGGTGCCAAATGAATGAATTACAGTCATAAGGAATAGCAATTCTAAGAACTAATGCAGTCTAATCAATCCTGGATTACTTGCATTGAAAGAATATTAACTGGTTGAAATAAGGAGTGTGCCACTTACTGCAAATCTTTTTTCCAGAATTTCATTCCCTCCTTGTAAGCCATAACTGTGTTCATATGAGCAACTCCAATCCCTGACAAGGAAAGTCAAAGACTGCAAGGAAAAAAATAAAAAAAAAGGAAAAAAAGAAATTAGGAAACAGATTATAGCAAATGCCTAAAGATTATGCAAAATTATGAATATAAAAAAAAAAAAAAAAAAAAGAAAGAAAATATCCAAAACCTTATGTATTTTTTATTATTAAAAAATATTTTTAATACATTTTTAGTTTGGAAAAAAAAAAAAAAAAAAAAAAAAAAAAATTATATATATATATATATATATATATATATATAATTACCTCAGTCCCATAAAAGCTGTTACTTTTGGGTATTAAATGTATATGCAAATGTAACAACTATTATGGGACAGAAGTTTTAACAAAACTTGTACATTTCAAAAGATTATCAATAATTTTAAGAACTACAAGAGAAAAATCAAATAAAAAGAAATTCACAATGTTTAAATTAAAGTCAATTTAGAAATAAATTTGTAAAAGTTAAAATAAAATAGAGAAATTAGAATGCAGAAAAAAAAAAAAAAAAAAAACATCTCCAAATTGATCTGTCAAAGTTATTCAAAGAGTTCTTTCCTGCTGAGCTATTCCATCTGCTTGGGACTTTGATGAGTCATTTGAGCAGATGAAAAGATTACCCACCTTCTTCAATCAATATTTTGAAAGGAAAATTGTTCGCTCCAACCCAATCACCATCAAAGATAACAAAAATTCATTCATGATTCATTTGAGAAGAGTGTAGCAAGAATTTATTCAGTAAAAGATGAATATTTGAAATAATTTCAAGTAAAAAAAAAAAAAAATTCTAATAATTATCAATACATGACAGGAGGTTTCATTGAAAGGTAAGATTTAAATATTAGAATTATTTTGAATTATCTAAACATTAAGACAGACAGTCTTTTTTTCTATTAAAAAAAATTTTGCAGAAATTCTTACCTGGAAAGGTTTTGAAACATTATCATTCGCATCAAGTGCAAGACGACCATATTCTGTGAATAACTGGCAAAAAAAGAATAAAATAAAATAAATAAAAATATAAACACAGTAGCTGACCTTGAATCATCATAAAGTAATACTTTAACGTATCAAGATTTTTAATCTACTCCAGAATATTCATTGAAAATAACATCATAATCCTGAAATTAAAACATTAGTTGCAGCTAAAGAAGTTGGTAGAGGGGAAAAAGGAAGCCATATTAGAATCCTGACAAATGCAGGGACATTGTTTACTTAATTTTTGGTACTGGTAGTGGGACAAATACTTTGATCATTATAGGGGAGGGAGAGGAGAGAAAGAATCTGGAAATACCCCCCCCCCCGTGCCCACTGCAGCCCAAATTCAATAACTAATCTCTGAAGAACCATTAGTTTTAAACTAATCTTAATGAAATAGAAATTCAACCAATCGAAATGCTTAACTACATACAACACTATTGCAATGAACATGCACTGGAGGAGGAGGATCACCAGTTTGAGGAAAAAAAAAAAACAACAAAAATGTTTCAGTCTTATATTAGTGATGTCACAAAAATCTGTGTTATTTACCGTCTCATTTGGTAAGTATTTATAAATCACTTAGGAAAAGAAAAATTCTTTTTACGTTAGTTTTGTATTTTCAAAACCATGTAATTGCTACTTAGAATCAAAGTTTCCTTTTAGTGAAAAATTGTGTACAGTAGAAAAGCATCTAAAGTCATGTTGATTATTGACAGCACAACAAAATTCTATCTGCCATCTTAACAACAAGGTGGACACACACACACACACACACAATTTAATCTCTTGAAGACCTCCAGAATTTTACATCTTTATGCCACAATTGATATAAGCAGGATTAAATATTAAACAAATTTCCCCAAACTTTCATTTACTTTATGATTTTAGTGACACCGCAAATTCCAGGAGTGAGTGAGGAGAGGACAAAAACAATGTCATAATTCAACATGAATGTATTGCGTAACAGAGTTAGGGTGCTTAGCATATTACAAGCGAGCAGTAAAAACACAGGTTAAATTTTAATGCCAAGAAAATAACTATACCTAGAAAAAAACCAAGTGTGTAAAATGAGAAATTCAAGATCTATTCAACCTATATTTTAAACAATAAAATCCAGTGGGGAGGGGTAGTATCAACCAATTTTCTAAAATTATGTCTTGAAATTAGATATCAGGAATGAGCAACATTTTTAATCAAGATCAGGATAAAATATGTTTGAGAAAGAAAAAAGGAATTTGAGGTTGGAAGCAAATGAAAAAGCCAATACAGACATGATGTAAATGTTTGACCTTCAGTGAAATGAAGGCAGGATTTAAATGGAAGGTGTTCCAATTTGAATCCGATATTACTTAAGTAAAGTTCTAAATGTTATTGTTACACTCTGATGTTACTGCTACATCACCACACCCACTCCTTTTAGTCATTTTCTGTACAAACAAAATTTTGGTAATTAAATAAAAGCTTTTGATAATTAAGCATCAAATTTCACATTTTTTTCATTTACCTAAAATTTATTTCAGCAAGTGATAAACTGTGTAATTTTAAAATAAGTAAATGTATTCATTGGGTTAAAAGAAAATAATGAAGAGGTTCTTTAAATCTCACCTGAAGATGTTGCAAGTCATTCTCCTGTATGTTCTGTGAAATGTTGTATATCTATATATATATATATTAAAAAAAAAAAAAAAAAAAAATTGTATAATATGCAAATAGAGAAAAATGCAAAAGAAAGAACTTGGAAGTTTATTCATTTTTTTCATAGTACTTTCCATCTTTACTAAGTGACATTATTATCAAAACCAACAAGTAAAAAAAAAAAATTGTTGCTAAGCAGCTGGTGGTGGGGGGGGGAGTTTAAATCTGATCTTCTGTCATTTGTAATGGTTTTGTAGCTCAAACAAGACATTACAGAAAAAAAAAAAAAAAAAAAAAAAAAAGAAGGGTTTCCCCAAGGCAAAATGTCAGATCTTGCAGAAAACTTCATTACTGTTCTCTGCTATCTACTAAATGGCCATAGACAGTCAGAATAGTTGCAATGAAACACAAATATTAGTCATAATAGTTGACAATACTTCAAATAAAAATTAGGATATATATATATATATATATATATATATATATATATATATATATATATATGAGGAAATATACTCTTAAGGTGTGTTATATTTATGGGATAAAGTGCTCAATATCAGAGAGAGCATGTGTAAATATAAAAGTGAACATTGAAGTCAACACTTAGAGGTGACAGGCTGTTTCATGCTAGACGCAACTGTCAGGCCACAATTGCATCTAGCCTGTCACCTCTAAGTGTTGACTTCAATGTTCACTTTTATATAATAAAAATATGTTGAAATCAATACACAAAAACTTTCATGTTTCTATGATTGTACTTCTTCAGGCAGTGGTAAGTAACTAGTGATTAAGTCATTTTTAAGGAAATTTAAAAACAAAGTTACTTCTTTTCTGAAGTGTTGAGGGGTGGGGGCATTGGCAGACAAAGTTAGAATTAAAAATAAACTTGTGGGTATGTCTTGATTAACCAATTAAAATGTCAGATCTATGCTAAATAGAAAAGTAAGCTCAGAAGGTCGAGTTATTTTTTAATAAACTGGAATATAAACAGGCCATCACTGACAATTGTGGAATATATATATATATATATATATATATATATATATATATATATATATATAAAATTATTTGGTAATCTGTATGAATAATTCCAAAGAGGATATAGATCCAGAGAGAAGCATAAAAAGGTCAATTTCTTTTTTTTTATATATATAAAAATAACAAAAATTAGAAAACTCGCAGACAATTGCTGATACCTACTGAGGAGTGGACTGAACAATTATGATTTTCTCTACAAAATTCTGGAGTAGAGGTGCTGAATATAACATCAACCTGCTCAGCAACAAATTAGATATATATATATATATATATCAGTCTAGGTACTATCTAATAGTAGTTGACATATTTCTGTAGATGGGACTGCAGACAAGACAAACATTGTTGCAAGAGCCAGAATGAAAAGTTAAAGCACCTACCTGGACTGAACTGATCATGGTACTGAGAGCAAACACTGTGGCACAGTCACGCACTGTGGATTGACTATCAAATGCTCCCTGGGTGTCCATCAACACCACAGCAACCTAAAGACAGGATTTAAAAAAAAAAAAAGTTTTCAATACGAAAATGAAAAGTAGCTGAATTTTACATTTTAGATACATTTACACAACTACAATCTAATCCATATAGTAATTCTTTTTTTTCATATCAATCACTTGTATTAAGATAACAAAGATGGCTTCAATAACATTTACTAGTGCAGTACAATGGTACACTACAATAAAGTGTATTTATATGTGGACTTGTTCTTACCTTTGTTGTTGTTGTTATCACATTTCAGCCACTGTCCCCTGGCCTCCATCAGATATACATCTACAGGTAATTCTGAACTTAACCCTTTATTTACTCTACAGGGGTAAACAATTAACAACATACACCTGATGAAGGCTGGAGGGTACAAGGGTCTAAATGTTGTAACAACAATAACAACAAACAGGAGGACAATAGTCAACATGTAAATAATGATAACTCCTCAACCCAGAAAAATGTACATTCTATTCAATGAGCACCAGATACAATATTAGATGCAAATTTCTAAAGATATTACTTGCATGTTCTTTGAAAATTAGAGATAGAATTCGGTCAAAAACTGGTGTTTCAATATTCATTATTTAGCATTCATTTATCCAGTTATGAGAAACTAAAAGTAGCAGTAGACATCTTTTTCAAGTTGGCAACAAAAGCAAAGATCATTAATGAAGCCTCTAGTGATGGTTTCACTGGAAGCATCATTAGTCAGTAATAGTTTAAGTTCAAAGCTCTTTTTGACATCAATCAACATTGGAACTAGAAAAAAAAAAAAAAAAAAAAAAAACCTTAGGTCAATTATTCAACAATTGTTAGACATCTGCAAAGTAGGAGGAAGTTTCAAAAAGTAGAAAAATACATTTGTATTATAAATTTAGCAAACGTCCTGGAAACTTTGGCATATGCCTAATACTATTATGGTGACCTATATATATATATATTACAGTATGTCAAATATAAGCTGTATTGATTTACAATTCCAAGTTGTATTATCAGATGTTTAGAATAAAGACAAAGATTTTAGGTTAATATGTTGGTAATTTGGGACAAAATGGCTGTTCACCGGAATTTGTTATAAAATAAGCATTTGCTTAATTGTAAGACTTTTGTGGAGAGCACAAGTATTAAAAGACAAAGCTTTGAATAATATAAAGACAAAATACATTAAAACATGATCCATATGTTTCTGTTTGTCAATAAAATTACAACAGATGAATTTATATAAGAAATAACAGGAAGTGATGAAGTTTTTATTAAGGATTCAAGAACAGATACCAACTTCAGTGATTGCAACTTATTTCTTATTTGTAATATTACATAAAAGCTATTACAATAGTTGTAAAGACATACCTGGCCATATGGAGTATTAACTATGAAGGGTTCACTCCATAGCAATATTCCTGTGGTATCTCTTTCAGAGCCTCCACGCCATGAGAAGCCATCAAGTTGTTGTTCTTCATCAGCTAACCAATCTGTGGGACCCTAAAAAAAAAAAAAAAAAAAGAAATCATCAGTAAAACAAAATATTCAATATCCAAGAGGAACACAATGGATTTCTGAAGTCCTGAAAAATATTTTTATTACTTCATATTTTTGTCAAAAATGTATTTTTTTTTTGTTTTCAAATTTCAGCCAATATATTTAGCCTTCTCTAAAAACCCATTAATTCCTATATCAACAGGAGTCAAAAACCCCTCCCCAGTTCTACTCATTTTCATGTTAAGACAATCAAGTAATTTTAGCATTGATTTTGCTAGACTGCAGTATTTGAATTGAAAAGGATAAAAGAAAAAATGTCTTATGTAAGACATAATGCCAAGCACGTACAACATGCTCAGGAGAAAAGTTGAATATATTGACCGAAATATGGAATACATTTGTAACTCTTGCTATTACCAGAATAATATTGGGTTGGTGCATAATTATCAGGCGTTTTTAAACAATATTTATTATGAAAAAAAATGTAACAATTCAACAATAACAATTTCAAAGGATTATTCTGGAGCGTATGATTATTGACATGCATTTTTATAACCTGAAAATAAAATATTTTTATTGAAAAAAAAAAAAAAAAAAAAAGTTAACAAAACAGCAATTTTTAATAAATAACTCACCTACAAAAACGCCTGATAATTATGCACCAACCCAATTCTTCATAAAAATTAATTTAAAATAGAAAGTCTTTTTTATTAGCTGTATTAAAAATAACTTAAAATTCAGAAAAAAAGGCTAAAAGAAACACTAAAAGTGGTAAAATTTAAAATGAATTCCAACTGTAGTTCAGTTTTTATACAACCAGTTTAATGAACCAGTTCTTAAACTGCTAAACATGGCTTCAACTACAGTTTGAAATCAAATCAAAGAATGGCAGATCTGTAATAGTAGCATATCACAGAGCATCCGATTAGAAAAACAACCTGTAATAAAAAGAAATGCTGATAACAGTCTATAGAAATGAGTGGAATAAGAATTAATATTTGCTTATTCATGTATTTAAGTGGAAAAGAGTACAAATTATAAAACATGTAAGAAGTCGAAAACTAAAATTGCTTTTGATATTTTATCAACACGAGTCAGAAAATCTGGGTCAATACGAAATAATTTTCAAGTTTATTTTCAAGCAAACATTACAATTTATTTGCATATCTCTCTACTTTAAAAAGGTCAATTACTTTTAGCAAAGGTAATCAACTTTTATACAACAATGAAGGAAAAAAGGAGAGGGAGGCAAAAGACAATAGGCAATGTTTAAAACTTAACAATCATCACAAAAATCCAAATGTCATGAATTTATTTTTACAAAGGAAGGAGTTACAAAGTTAGATAAACTGTGGCTTGCTTATTTCAACTTCAGTGATAGAACTCAGAATTTAAATCTATACAATTAAAAAAAAAAAAAAAAAAGGTTTACATGCTGATTTTCAAAACAATTAGGTCTCTCCATCTAGAAATTGGTGCAACGCAACCCTTTTACACATATTTCCCCATTGTGCTCTACTAACCTTAATGAGTACTAATAATTCTTTATATAAAGTACATTACATAAAAATTTATTCAATCTACCCCCAGGGATTGAATAAAGAATCCGGTTCCAATTTTCATTAAAGTTATTGGGTTCAACAAGCAGTACCTGAAGAAGGCTGGAGGGCATCAACCGAAATGTGTCTATGATAATTAATCATCTCAGAAATATAGACAGATAAAACAGAATCATTGTAGGAAAGTTTCAAAACCTTTAAAGCTGGTTGTCTGATCTGGGTGTGTAATGTTTGCAAATTTTTTCAAAACTATATTTGCAAAAATATGAGCATGCTTTCTCTCCATGTTGAAAAAAATGAAACTCAGAAATAAAAATAAAAAATATAACTCATTAGCAAGTGCGGTGAGCAAGAACCTTTAGATTTCCATGGTCAATTGGATTGGTATGTTTTCCATACTTTTCAGAAAAATGGGTTTCATATTCACCAGGTTGATTATTATTTCTTGTAATATATCCAGCTATGTATATAAGTGGCATTTTTATTTCATCAGAAAGAGATAGTTCTAAAATTTCCAGATTGTCATGAAGGTTCAGTATTTAACAAAGTTTCTAATCACATGATGTACATTGGTGATCTGGCTTAACATCAAATGCATCAATATTTACATTTTGATTTAAAAGTAAATATGTCTGCTTAACATTCTGTTTTTCAATACACTGTTAGACATTTTGATAAAATAGTTGTCACCTGATCCTTGAAGTGTACTAAATTCTTTTTCTAATGGATCAGTTATAAATTGCCCAAGTAGCACATATTTATGGCTTGTAGCTAAAATTTGTCAACAGACTAACAATTCCATTGGAAGTATGGTGTATGGTCCTAGCAGTGTGTTTGGATAATTGTTTTATATGATTACCTTGACTGCCAGCCATATTAAGAGACATTTGACCAAACTCAATGAGAAAAATTGAGCCGGCTGTCATTCAGAGATCTGATTTCAGCTTGTAGAGAGTCGTTGTATAGTTTATCAATTTGAAGGGTCTTAACATTTAAAATTTTCCACCATATCAAGAACTTGTTTATGGAGATGACAGTATCATTCCTATCTGCACTTATTTCAGACTGAGTGAGAAGTACATTGTGTTTTTTTTTTTTTGCTTTTTAAACACTCTGAGGCAAATAGAAACCCGTTGTCTTTCTATGGGCTTTGGAGCAATGGAAATTTTGTTTAAATCTGAAAGTTTAACTAGTCTATCAGATTCAAAACAATATAACTGTTTAAGATGTACTCATTTTGCAACTTATTTTACTCCATTATCATTAAAGATTAATTCTTTTTTGTGAGCCACAAATTGAGAATACTTTTCAACAGATGAACATAATCAAAAAGCAAATTTTTATTATCATCAGTCAAACAAGGTTTTCCAGAAAGCATGGGATATAATTTACAAAAAGCTCGACTTATTCAGTTGCCATCATATATAATAAGCCTTCATATCAGCTGATCAAGAGGTGATGGCCTGAACTGTTAACTCCATTTGTTCAAATAAAAAGGCTGATGTTAATTTTGAAGCTGGAATCAATCTTGTAAGAAATTTTGTACATTAAGTCATATCAACATTATACCAAGTACTGCCTGAGCACATAGCAATAGATTTACCAAATAGTTGTTTGCTATGATATAATCACATCTTGATATTTACTTCATCATGGAAAATTATGCACACCTTTTTGACTGGCATTAAGAGTATTAAATACAGATAACAAAAAAGATTTTTCATTAAGTTTTGAAACTTTTGATGTCATCCTTCTTAATGTTGCTAATTGTAAATCCTGTTTTAATCTATTATACAATGACTGATGTTGCATAGTACTCAAAAGTACATATTACTATATCTGAGCTGTATTTCATTCCAACTATTTTGGGGGCCATTGCTGAAAAGTGCTAACTCAAGATATCCTTCTTGTAATCAAAAGCCATAGAATTTAAATATCAGATATCTTCCAATGTTGACCAAGTATCAACTGTATATATATATATACGGTTTTGGGAAAGGCTGCTAACACTTAACTCAATAATGAAAAGTTTGAAACCACAAATTTTTATAAATTCTCAACATAAAAAGGATAACTTTTGAGGACTAAACAGTTAAAATATTTTCAGCCAAAAATGCTATAACTGGACACAAAGTCTTTTTTGTTGTAGATTAGACTTTCTTTCAAATTTGTATAATTAATCTTCTTTAATTCTCAAAATGCATTCGTTTCATCAATTTCATTTCGATCAGTACTGGAGAGTTTTTTTTAATTTTTTTTTTTTATATCCCTTTGAACAGCAGAAGGTGTTGGTATTTGACTCTTTGGCACACCTGGCCATGAACTTCTATGGCACCAAAATATGAAAACCAATGTAGTTGACAAATAACTGTATTGTTTGTAACATTCAGATTGGCATTTGGAACTGATCTTCTCCATCGTTCTCTCATCTTTGTCTTTTGGAAAATGATAAACTAATATCTTATTCATCTCACAGACAGCTAGCTTCTGTAATTTGTTTCGCAAATGACACAGCACTTTTTGGGCATTGCTGGAAACTAGATAATATCTGAAATGATTAAGCTTCTTAAGCACAATTATTTCTATTACTGCTTCATTTTACGGGTAATTTTCAAGCCAAATTAACTATTCACTTATTCTCAACTTTTACTCCCCCCACACCAATAAGTTAAAAGCAAAGATTTTAGAGGGCTGCCTTAAACCCGAGAATCCACTATATTATATATATATATATATATATATATATATATATATATATATATTTTTTTTTTTTTACTTTGGTATATTGGTTTTGGGATATGTTGCTAACAAAAAGTTTGCAAAATATTGCATAATCTTTTAATTAATTATTGAGTTAATTAAGTGTCTAAATTTCTGGTACTTGTCAACATAAGATCAGCTATTGCCTGGCTCACTCCCAGTTTGCTGCTCATCCAGGTAACATCCCCCACCACTTGATTTAAGTGGGGGGGATGGGGGTTTTGCCCAGTGCCTGAGGGAAGAAGGCTTTGGCTATTTTTGAGACAATAGTGGGACAATCCACTGCAGTGCACTTTAATCTCAGATTTCTTGTGTCAAAAATTAGTTTTGTGCTCAACTTTAGTAAATAAATACTTTAGAGAAGAACCTGAAAAAATAACTGAGCAGCAGCAACATGGTTAATATTTTGTTCACCACGTTTTTAGAATATTGAATTGAATTAAATTTATTATATGACATTAAATTTATGGCTTTTTTATTAATTTTGTAATGAGAAGATAACATTTGGTTTTATTTTATGCTTTAATGGAAAATTTTTAAAAACTAAAATTGTAACTTGTTTGTTTAACCTTACTGTAAAGAAAAACAACTAAAAAAAAAAAAAAAAATAATTCTATGAATGCATTTGTTCTTTATGACTAACAATATTAGAGAGAAAATATGAAAGTAACTTTGTGAAATAATAATGGTAATCTATTTTTATAAATTTCAAAGTATAAAATTTAAAAAGAAGAGTAGAAAAAAAGTCTTGAAAAGACGTACGTCTGTTAAAAACTTAGCATTAACATAAATATTTATTAATATCTTTTTTTTTCTTTAATAAGTAAATCATTACAGTTCCTTCAATAACAAAAAGAAAATGTGGTTTAAAAATAAATAAATAAATAAAAAAAAAAACAAAAAACAAAAAAAAAAAAAAAAACAAACTTTTTTTTTTTGAACTTATAGAAACAATTATACAGGACATAAAAGTTTGACAGTCCAGTCAGTTATACAAAATTACCAGAAAATAAGAGCAATGACTATAGTAAATTTAAAGTCAACATTCCTAAAATTAGATTAGAGAATATTTCCAAACATTTTTTAAGATTACCAAGTACTTAAAAAAAAAAAAAAAAAAAAAAATGAACTGACAAGTCACTTTCTTAAATTACGTTTTAACAGATAAAGTCTCCTTAAAACTGTCAACACCTTATCAATGCTTAAGTAATTCATGAGTATGTAATCACCACTACTGTTTATTTTAAAAATCCATTTCTATTATTTTAAACTTAAAGTAAATAATATTTTTTCCAAATCAAATATTTCTGACATTCATAACTGCATGGATATTGCATGTACCAATTTGAAACTTGGTGACAATAGTTAAAACTTACTGTAAATTACAAAAATATAAACAGCTTATGTACTTTTATTTTTATAAAGACCTGAAAATGGCCAAAGTGCAAAAACATGTTGTTCAATTGAGAACTTATTTAAAAAATTATATCAGATACAGCATCTAAATTAGTTTTGTTGTCATTTATTCCTGTATAGACTATTTCTATTCAATAACCATATTTATTCTTGTTATAGGAAATCAAATATTACAGTTTGACAAGTTATTCACTGGATGTAAATTTATGGGAGAATTATTCTGTTCCTAAGTAAAATACCAAAACGCAGTAGTTTTAAATCATTCAACGCAATTGCAAAGAAAACACATTTCCAAAACTGAATATTTGCTGGCAGGGTAAGTAACAAATTGCAAAAACTCATTCCTCAGCAATTAACATAGGAATTGGTAAAACATTCAATAGAATAAAATTGAAGAAAAGAAAAGAAGAAAAAAAAAAAAAAAGTATGAATGACATCAAATTCTTACCTTGTGTCTTTGATGTCGAAGGAAAAAATCTAGCAAGAAAGATTTTCCCTTGCGGAAAGCTCCAGCTACAGATATTACTACCACTTTTTTGTCCCGAATATCTGGCTTCATTAAAACCGACTCCAATGCCTCTTCATCCAAAGTGAACTCATGGTTCTCTGAGGTCACCACAATCTGGACTGGGTGGCCGTCAGTCATTGCTGCCCTCTTTTCTAGAGAAAAAAACAGAAAAGAAAGAATAATTTAAAAATAAAGCAGAGGATATTTATTTCTTTGAATATTACCTACTGCTGCTTTTATTTGGCAACATAGGGAATATATAGATTTGGGAGAAATTTCAACTGCACAAAGCCAATGAAAACAAAAAAATAAAATGGGAGGATTAAAATATTGCCAGGTTTGGAGGCTGGTAAAAATGGTTGACACATTAAAAAATGATACCAATTTAGCCTAGAATTATAAGAGATTCAAAGACGAGAGACTAGCATAAATCTTTAAAAATAAGTGTTAAAAAATGATGATGGGAGAAGCAAATGTGACAGTTATTAACATGGTAAATGGAACGGTAAGAGGAGGCACAGTGGAGTAATGGATAGCGGATTGGATTGAGGAATCAGAGAGCTGAGTTCGAATTCCAGTTGAATCCATTACATTCACTTACGTGCTAATACTCTTGGGAAAGGTGTGAATCCTCTTCTCCCTCCCAGCTATGGGTAAATAGCAGGACAGACTGGGTTCTATAGCCTTGGATGGCAACTGGTCTAGGAGAAGGACAACTCTGAATTCAAACCCAGAGTGGAGCCCCTAAGGCAGATGGACGGCACTTTGTGCTACCTTCCGGCAACTCCTCCAGTCGCGATGGTACCAAACTGTATTGGTTTATCATCTCCTTTAGACTCACAAGGCCGAGAGGGGGAACTAGATGTCCAGGCAGCCCTAGTTCTCCATGTATCCCGCCCAGGCTTGTAGCGCACTGCACTACTCCATCGTCTCTTGAGACGAACGGATGCTGATGACGAAATGGAATGGTAAACACTGTTTAAATCCTGGCTGGGATTGATTGCATTTTATTTCATATTAATGTGCTTGAGAGTGGCATGAATCCACTTCTCCCTGCACTCTATACAATTGGTACATATCTTGGGAAAAATGTCTCCCAACTGCCATCACAAATGAAGTAAAGGCATCATAATCATTGTTAACATTTGACAATGGAAGAGAACTATTGTTGACATAAAAAGAAAATTTAACTTCAAATCAAGGATTAATATATATATATATATATATATATATATATATATATTTAAATTACAATAAACGTGCAATCAATTTACAAATACATGAATTATTCACACAAAACTAATACAAAGGTTAATGATTTAAATGGCGAGACATCCATCTCGCAAACAATTCAAGTAGTACACAAAAACCTCCAGATCCGTTATGAATGAATTGATCCTTGTTTATATTTTTGTTAATAAGTGCGACATTACTGTAATTATTGAACAATATAGTTCATGCCACTTTGACAGTAAAATTTACCAGTAAAATAATTTGTTCATTACCATATTTGGTATAAACGCAAAACACTTTAAAAAAAAAAGAAATTTAAAATCAAACTCAGCGTTGCTTTGGCGTGTTCAAAAACCAATATCTCATTTTCAATAGCATTTCGGATACAATACACATATATTTTCGATGTCCTCTTATTACTAAGAGAAAAAAACAAGAACAACATCTATTATATACCTGAAGATGTCTGTAGGAACAGACGAAAGCTTGTAGTAAAAATAACAACTAATACGGCAGAAATTTATATAAACAAGGATCAATTCATTCATAACGAATCTGGAGGTTTTTGTGTACTATTTGAATTGTTTGCGAGATGGATGTCTCGCCATTTAAATCATTAACCTTTGCATTAGTTTTGTGTGAATAATTCATGTATATATATATATATATATAGCAATTTTCCAAGCGTAGCTTAGATGTGGCACAAGGCTGAAAGTAGGTGGCACTTAGTGAGGATCGAACTCGCTACTCAATCGTAATTGTTCTAGCAAGACAAGCTTGTTAACCATTACACTGCCTCAAGGTGCCAAGGAGATTATTTATATATATATATATATATATATATATATATATATATATATATAATGTTCTCATCATTCGATCGACCACTATAGAGAAAAGGGTAATTTCAAAACAGTAGCGCCACCAGTATTAATGCACTCTTCATTAATGATCTGAGCCCACTAGCTGCTGGCATTTGTATACATCTGTATATAATACGTTAAAGTTTCCCTTTCTCCGCTGTGTGCCAATAGGGGTAGGATCTCTGGCTGATGCCAAATCGTTTGGGTTTCAATCCCAGCTTGAAGCAAATCGAACATCTGGCCACACTGATGAGCTGTGATACAGTGAAAGTCTTGTAAGTAGATGACTAATATATATATATATATATATATAAATAAAGGAGAGAGAGACAAAGAAAGCTAGCAACAAATAAAGCCACATCATCACTTGTTGGATGCAGCTAAGGAGATAAACTGAGACAGATTTTTCACATAATTAATTTACAGCTACAAACTATATCTGGGATTGCCAGTTTTTGCCTTTCCTTTTAAAAATGACAACTCATTCTTAACACTCATCATATCTTAAACAATCTACCATGTCACCATTCTCATTGATAAATAGAATATTGAATGATATAGTTCACAATTCTAAAACTCAATTGGAGACAGCGGGGAAGGAAAGAAAAAAAAAAAAAAAAAGATGTCATACCACAAATAGGTTTAAACATCAATCACTTTTTGATGATTGTAATTACTCATAGCAGATTTACTCAATTAAGCAGATGGGACGACTATAAATTCACTGTAGATGGAAGTCAGTGGTGATGGTGTGATCTTAGATTCCTTCAAGAAGGCAAGGCCAGGGTATCATGTGAACAAAAACGTTGACAACTATCAATATTAGTATCAATAGCAAAAAAAAAAAAACTAACATAGTATGTTATTATGAAAACCCTTTTAAAAACCTCGGACAATATGAGAGAGCACAGGGAAGGGGAGGATTCATACCTTTTCCAAGAATATTAGTGTTAAAAAAAAAAAAAAAAAAAAGAAAGAGTATCCTCAGCTAGAATTTGCTAAGACAAATTTCTATAAAATAAAAAGATATCTCAACCGCAACAGACAGAACTTTTTTTTTAATTTTGCTTCTTCATTAAATTTTTACCCAAAATATTTTATTTCTTTTTTTTTTTTATTAGCAACTAGTTATATTACAGGAAGTATATCCAGAAATTTCCATGTAAACAGAAATATTGCTACAAGACATGTATAAAAAAAAAAAAAATTATATCACCCCCCCACCACCACCACTTCACAAAAAAAATAACTAATATAGGTGGCAAAAAGCTATTCATTGACTATGAAGGAATGAAAAAATGGGGGAGGGAGATTAGTACTTAACAGTGATAACTGATGATTTATCAATCAATTGTGCAATTTTTATTTTCGCACAGAAAATAAAAGAATAGTCATTTCCAAAGCAGGTAAAAAGACTAAAAAGTAGCCAGAATCAAAACAACTGATATATTTTATGGCTGCAAAATTTGTCTCATTTACTCATTCTGTGGTTCAAACTAAAGAGCAGGTTTTATTGTAAAAAGTCTAGTAGAAAATATTTCAGTTTTAAAAACTCAGTGATGACATCCAGAAAATAGGATATGTATATATAAAGTATCATCCATCAATAAGTAGACTGCTATCAATTTTTTATATATATATATATATATATATATATATATATATATATATATATATATATATATATATATATATATATATATAAGTTAAATTTTCTTTGAAACCAAACATAGAAGAAATTTATTTGAATGCTACATCATCCAAACTCTGGAACCTAAAATAGTTGTAGTAAGTAGCAGTTCAACAATAAGCGAATTTCTACAAAAGGGAGTATTTTATTCTGTATAATAAATATATTTCCAAATCAATTTTTTTAATTTTTTCCTTGTAGGAGATTTGACTAAATCTGAATATGAATTGAGAACACATTTAAAAGTTTTCAATGATAAAGAACTCTCCTGATTTTAAGGAACATATTTATTTACCCAAACAAAACAATGGCTACTTAGGCTGATGTTAAACAAACATACTAATGCCAAAATTGGAAAAGGTGTACTGAAGCAAGCAGGTCAACCATGAAAAAAACTGACTCCATGGTTTGTTATATCAGGAAATTGGTAGATAAAGACAAAAAATCTGTTGCAAATGTTGCTAATGAAGGAAAGAAAATCAACATATATGGGTTTGATGGTATTTGATAAGTTTAAAGTTTTCCATTTTGGTGGCATTATGGCAAGTTGTACAAGGAAAGGGTTTGGTCTTAACAGTTAATTATCATAATGGAAACACCAAGGCCTAGAGTTGTAGGTGTCCAAGTGGCATTGGTAAGTTGCATTTCATCTACAGAATTATAGATACTGAAGATGACATCAAAATAATGAAAGGAAAAGTGGTTTTCACTCAAAGAAGAGCAATGTGTGATAATCTAAAAACATTCTATTAAGACAAGAGTTTCTTAAAAAGCAAAAGCTAAAACTACTCAATTGCTCTCATATTTCACTTGATTTAAATTGTGAATCTGAACAATGGAAGATTATAATCAAATATGCTAGTGGGGAAAACAAAAATGATGCCCTTTTCACCTTTTCAATAGCTATGGTCAAAGTAAAAATACCTTCATGGAAACATGATTAAATTAAGTGCTTATGAAAAAAGATGGAAGGAAAAAAAAAAAAAAGAAAAAAGTAGAGGTAGAGAAGAGGGAAAGAAGTAATGTTTTGTTTCCTAATTCTTTCACACTCAGTAACCTCCTTATATCTTAGTGGCTTTACTATTTTTTTTTTTTTTTTGGGGGGCAGAATAATTTTATAATTATCAATTCAGTCTGATTTTCTGTGCAAGTGGATATTGCATATGAAGAGACAAACAGCCTTGCTTAAAAAAGTTCTAGCTCACTCATTGGCAAGATCAATCATCTTTTATTCTCTGGTGTTTAAATAGACTTCACTTAGGTTAGTAACAAACAAAAAAAAAAAAAAAAAAAAAAATTAAATGCATGTTTTTTTTTTTTTTCTCTATGATTAGAACTCCAACGCATCAATC